AGCATCTTAGCTGTAGAAGGCAGTGTCACTGGCCCTCATATGTGGGATCCGAACCGGGGCCCTCTGGTGTCCCAAACCAGTTCTTAACCATCGCGCCACTCAGCCGGCCCTCCCTTCCTTTTTTAATGCTAAATAATAGTCCATTGTATGTGTATACTATATTTTGCTTGTTATCTATTCATCTCTCAATAGACATCCCTCAATGGTTGCTTTCATGTTTTAGCTATTGTGAAATTTGCTGTTGTGAACGTGGATATACAAATATCTCTTCAAGACCCTACTGTCAATTATTTTGTGTATATACCCAGAAGTGGAATTGCTGGATTATATGGTAATTTTATTTTTATTTTTATTTTAATCTGATAGTGGCCATCCTAATGGGTGTGAAGTGGTACCTCACTATGGCTTCAATTTGCATTTCCCTAATGATTAGTAATGTTGAGCATCTAAGGTCTCTGTATGTTAAGGCTCCCTGATACACATCTGTTATACTATATAATTTATATTCCACCACAATGTATGAAAGGCCCACTTCATCTCCACCAGCATTTGGCATTTTTTTATTGGGTAATGTAATCTTTAATTAATAATTTAATCAAAATTACAAGTAAATCCTTTATAAACAAGTTTGCTAACAAAAAGAGCTGAGCCTTAGTAGGCATACACATTGGGGGAAAGTGTATGGATGCACTACAGAACAACCTATTAGTTTGTGCATTTGGCATTTCTTTTTTTTTTTTTTTTAAGATTTTTATTGGGGAATTGGAGGGATGGGAACAGTGCTGGGGAATTGGGGAAGGGGAAAAGACGAGTTGCTGTCGTTTTGTTCTTCAGTGTAGTTGTGGAGGATGTTGCTTCACTGGCCCAAGTTGGCACCATCATTGCGCTCTTCCCAGGTGAGGCAGATCTGTTGCCCGCTTCTGGACGGCCGCTCACGCTGGCTGCTGGCTACATACGGTAGCCCATGGCAACTCACTGCCACAGGGGCTGCAGCCTATGCCGTCGCCGGCAACTCACGGCAGCCCAGCTCCAGGTTGAGCTGTTGTTCAGCATCTTAGCTGTAGAGGGCAGTGTCCCTGGCCCTCACATGTGGGATCCGAANAGAGAGAGAGATTTTAGCTCTGGTGTGATATGGTATGTATACCTTGATACATATATATACTATTTATAAGTGTATATATATGTATATATGATATATATATCTCAACCGGGGGGGGGGAGGCATTATTATCTCTTGGAAGTCATGCATCAGAGCCTAGATTTGAATGAGATATCACAGTTGCATATCACAGGACTCAGGACCCTGAGGTCACCCTGCTCTGAGCCCAGGCATCACCTCGCCTAGATGGTTGGCACTTGGACACCCTTCATGCCCCCATGGCCTGGGCCTGCCCTCCCTCCCACCATATCTTGGTTCCAGGGTGTGTGAAAGGGGCAGGGGTAATCCAAAGGGCGCAGGCTCCATCCCCACCTGATAATTTTAGGGGCTGTGTGCTCTGGCTGTGGTCCCCAGCCTCAGGCCCAGTGTGGCAGACCAAGGTCTCCCAGGCTGCCAGCTCCTCAGAGGGCAGTGATAGCTGAGCCAAACTAGTCCAGGTGCCGTCTGCTGCTGGGGAAGGGCCGTAGGTGAAGGCGTCCAGTGCACTTCCATTGCCAGCTGAAAACCAGATGGAGCTCTCAAGGCCAGGGGGTGCAACGTCAAGGACCAGGCAGACCACCAGCACCTGCTGTTTCCCATCCACTAGCAGAGTGATTGGAGGGGCCAGAGAGGGGAAGGGTGTGCCGCTCACACCTGCAAGAGAGCACACACCTGTGGGACCAGATCTGTCCGTGCCTCCCAGGCCACCATCTCATTGTAGGCAACTATGCTTCAATCTATCCTTTCACCATCCATGTATCCTTCCATCCACTCATCCATCCCTCTCTCCTTGCTTTTACCTATCTAACCACCATCCCTTCCCTCCATCCTTTCATTTATGCATCTATTCATCTATCTGTTCTTCCATCATCCATCTTTCCTACATCTCTTCTCTCTCTTCCGTCTCTATGTCTGTCTGTCCACCCATATTCTACCACCTAGCTATCATAGCTGAACCTTTCTGTGACAGGCACTGGGGCTACAACATTAAGATGTTGTTCCTGTTTTTAAGGAACTTAGTCCTGTGGGAAAGACAGCAGATGCATAAATAAATACTTATAATACCTTGTTGTGCCAGCCTCAGGAGAGCGGTTGCCTCTGGGGAGGAAGCGAACGAAATATGATCTGGAACAAGATCAAAAGGGGCTTCAAATGTATCTGTAACTTTTTGTTTCTTTTTAAAAAAAATCTGATTCAAATATGGCAAGATTTTAACTATTTGTTAATTTGAGTGGAATATGCATGGGTATTTGGATTATTCTAGATTTTTTTCTGTAAATCTAGTATCGTTTAACAGCTTTGTTTAGCTATAATGTGTGTACCATACAGTTCACTCATCTAAAGCATATGTCTGTATTCTTTCATAATTTAAAAAAACAAAAAGTAAGTCATATGGGCACTGCAAACATCTGTCCTATATTTTCCAGAATAGTCCTGATTTTCCACACACTTATTCTTTTCAGTAAAGATGACTCATTTAATATACAACGAAATATTATTTTTGAGTAGTGGGATATTTTTTCTACATAAATGAAATCTCAAAGGTTAAAACCTCCAAAACCTCCACTACTGAAATGCACCCAGGCTAATGAGATGCGCCAGGGTGCAGGGAAGGATGCCAGGGAATCTTACGGAGATTTAGGGGCTGGGGGGGTGTGTGGAGGGGGACCATGATCATGAAAGATTTCTTGAAGCTCAAATAACTGACATAGTAGCATGTGAATGATAAGTAAGTAGCCCACTCAGGATTTGAACTCAGATCTGTGACTCCAAATCCCACAGACCACCCCACTTGAAAGGCTGACTAAGATTTTGCTATATGACACAATGGACCACGCCTGGGCCCTGGCCTCGGACAGAGTTGGTTTGATCCTACCTCATCCACTTAATTTACTGAGCCTGGGAGTGGGTTTAATAACAGAAGCCCCTTAAAATTGAATAAGGTTCATGACTACAAAACACCATGGCAGATAAGTATTAGTATTATTATCACTACTAATAGGAATAAGGCATTGCAAACAAAGGAAGTAGAGAAGGCTGGGAGTGAGCTCCAGGAACCTCAGCCTCCTGAGCCTTTCAGTTATATGGACAGAGATATGCCCCACGTTAAGGTCAGCACCCACCTCCTCCACGAAGCTTCCCAGATTGTCCTCCTCACCCTGGCTACCTCCTCCCCAGAGCTCAGGCCTCCTGCTATGGGCATTCCCTGCTCCTCCTGGGTGTGGTTTATTTGCCTATCTAGGGAGAGCTAGTGACACAGTGGGGCCCACCTGTAGGTCAAGGAGATGCCCTAATTCAAAGGTCAAGGACTTTTCCTCACCGCACACATGTAAACATGCACGTGCTTTTCAATGAAGCTGGAATTCTCAAAATTCAAGCGCTTTGGCTTGATATTTGGAGGACTGGGGGTAAATACACCTGGGAAGTCACTGAGACCTTGAGACTTCTCCTGAGAGCCCATTGATAAGGGGGAGCTGGGAGGGAACATGAGATACTCTGAGCCCTGTTGGAACAGGGCACCCTGAGGGCAGGAGACCGGGGACAGGAAGGACAGGAGAGGACCTCACCATGTCGCCCATGTCCCATTACCCCATATCACATAACACAGCCCTGGCTACCCCACCCCCAACCCCATGGACACCGTCCTGCTTGCTCTTGTCTCTCTATACCTCCAAGAGGTGACTGCCCTCCCTCCCAACACTGTGGCCTCCAGGGAAGCAGGACTTGGGGCCAGAGTGAGGCAGCTGGGAGGTAGGATACATCGCGGAAGGGATGATTGGCTTCTAGTGGGACCCTCCCCAGGAGGCCCCAAATGCCTCTGTACTCCATCCCTGAATCCCACCCACACCCAGGGAACCCAAGGCAAGGGAAGAGACTTGGGGCATAGAAAGGGACCAGGGCATAGAGAGGCTCACCTGTGGGCAGGGCTGGACACCCAAGGGCTAGGAGAAGCAGCAGCCAAGTCCCAGCCATGGGCCGCCTGAGAGGAGTCAGGACCCAGCTGCAGACCTGAGGTGTGGGCTGGGGGAGGAGGCACCCACAAGACTGCCTCCCAGGCCACAGGCCCAGCTGCACCTCAGCTGCTCCACCACGGAGCCGTTTCCCTGTGAGGGGCCCCTCCTACCTCACCCTGGCCCCCAAACCCAATCCTCTCTCACGAGCCAGGCAACTCGGGGTGCCCTCCAACAGCAGGAGCCAGATGCCTGCTCTCCCTCCCTCCCATCTGTAGAGCACTTCACAGTAGGCAAAGCCTTTTCCCAGTCACTGGCTCTGCCATCTACAGGGTACAGAGCACGAGGTAGTATGTAAGGGGCTTAATATACAGCACTTTGTCCCATCCACTCAAATACTGTGAGTTCCATTTCACAGGTGAGACAACTGAGATTCAGAGAGAGAGCGAGTGACCTCCCAAGGCCACACAGCTGGCAGGTGGCAGAACCAAGCCTTGAATTGTTTCCTGATGGCTAGCCTTAATGTAGCCAAAGAGCCTAATAAGCTTATTTCCATGTTGTTACACCCGCCCCTTTTTAAATAGAATTTATTTTTTAGAGTAGTTTCAGGTTGACAGCAAAATTGAGCAGAAGGTTCAGAGTTCCCATATATTCCCTGCACTGTCACATAAAACTCTCTTTAAAAAAAAAAACAACTTTATAAATGCCATTTGCAGTGACTCCACTAAATTTTAGCTAGCTGTCATTTTGACCCTGAATCTTTCCATCTAAGTATATACCTTAATGAAATAATAAGAGATTCAGCCATTATAAGACAAAGATTTGTGCACAAAAATGTTCTTTGATGTATTATATTTAAAAAGCAAGAGCAATTGGATATAACCTAGCTTTCAATGCTAGGGGAAGGGTTAAATGAATTCATGTTTGGTGTATTTATATTAGTGATTATTTTGCAGCAGTTTTTCAAATCATCTTTTCAAAGAATGTTTAATGACATGGGATATAGAAGAGAGTTTGGTTCAGAGTGTGGGCTGTGAAGGCAGAACACCTGGCTTTCAATCTTGACAATATTATTCAGGAGTTGTGTGACTTTCACCAAATTATTTGCTTCACTAATCCTCAATTTCCTCATCTGTACAATGGGGTTGATAATACCTCAAAGGGGTCCTGTGATATTTAAACAAGATAATCTGTGAAGAGGATTTAGCACCATTCTTTATACAGCAGGTCCTCATCTTGGTTCATTGTTGTTTTCCTTATAACACTGATGAGGAAAAAAATAATTGTTTCCTCACAGGAGCCCCTGTCTGTGTGGAGTTTGCACATTTTCCTCCTGTCTGAGTGGGTTTTCTCCAGGGAATCCGGTTTCCTTCCTTGTCCCAAAGATGTGCTTGTGAGGTGAACTGGGCATCTACATTGTCCCAGCCTGAGTGAGTGTGGGTGTGGGTGTGTGCCCTTTGATGTAAGGGCGTCCTGTCTAGGATGGGTGCCCACCTGACACCCTGGGCTGCTGAGGTGGGCTCCGGCCACTGGAGACCCTGAACTGAAATAAGTGGTTTGGAAAATAATTATCTTATTTGTTTTTATTAATCTTTCTTAAATGTATGTATAGTTCACATTTATTTCAATGTTTAATGTTAGAAGTGTTTTAGGTCTTTATTTAGAAGTTTGGTGATGTTTTTGTGATCAGAAATATGCCATAGGAACTTAACTCTTGTTTATATCAATTAGCCTGTGGTAAAATTGATTTCCTTATAGTAATTCCACTTAAAGTCCAGTTTCCAAGAACCTATTGAAGTTCAGGACTTACTGTACATAGGAAGAAGTCATAAATGTTCTCTCTTTCTTAAATGTGTGTATACATAATTACATACACAGAAAGTTTAAACAAACAGGATACAAATCTAAGTAGAAAAATATATACCTAATTTTGTATAAGAAATATGTAACTATTCCTAAAAGGAAACAGGCCAAATGTTAACAATGGCTAGCTCTCTGTGTTATAATTTTGGATAGTTTTTATTTTCATCTTTATAATTGTTTATTTCTCAAATTTTCTACAATAAATCTGTATTATTTTAAAAACCAGAAAAATAAACATTATTAAATAATAAAACTGTAGATGTGCTATACAGAAGGTGACAAAAAAATAGACAGCATCTCTTAAATGTGTATACATTTTTTTTGGCATCCCTGATAGTTCATTTAGCCATTCCTTTATTGTTAGATATTTGGGTTTCCCAGTTTGGCACAATGGATATCTTTCTTCATAAGGAATTTTCCAAACTCATATTTATTTTCTTAAAATTATTGGCTTGAAGGCCTCCGATTTTTTTGTTTTGTTTTTTGTTTAACTTAAAAAAATTTTAAACTGTAGTAAAGTACATATAACATAAAATGTACCATCTTAATATTTTTTTTTGTTTGTTTTTTTAGCTGAGCCATCCTGCCACCTGTTGGCAGCTCAGTGGCTGCTCAGCTTGGGCTGGACTCGAACCGCTGTTGCTCAGAGCTCACACTCTTGAGCAAGGTCTTAACCAACTGAGCCACTCGGCCGGCCCTTAACCATTTTTAAGTGCACAGTTCAGTGGTGTTAAGTACATTTACATTGTTGTACAACCGTCACTACCATCCATCTCCAGAATTCTTTTCATCTTGCAAAACTAAAACTCTGTACCCATTAAACATTATTTCTTCATTCCTCCTCCCCTCAGTTCCTAGCAATCACTATTCTACTTTCTGTCTCTGTAAACTTGTCTACCTCATTAAAGTGGAGTCATACAGAACTTGTCCTTCTGTAACTGGCTTCTTTCACTGGTATAATGTCCTCAAGGTTCATCTTCCATGTTGTAGCTTGTGTCAGAATTCCCTTCCTTTTTTTTTTTTTTTTAAGATTTTTATTGGGGTATTGGGGGGATGGGAACAGTGAAGGGGAATTGGGGGAAGGGGAACAGACAAGTTGCTGTCGTTTTGTTCTTCAGTCT